AAGAGAGAAAAAATGCTTCTCTCTTTCTTTCTCTTTTCGTCTCTTATTACAATATCAAATACCAAAACAAGAAAAGAAAAATAAATGTTTACAAAAGATTGATCCCAATTATCAGTTATCAATCACCAGCAAGTTTATGATATAATCTAAAGGCATGGATACCAATGTAGATGAAATGTTAATGTATTAGTTATGTATGATATGCCAAGTAAATAAGCATGGATATAAAGAATCAGTTTTCTCCTTAGGAACTAGGAGACTGAATTCTAATCCATTTAAAATACAAAACCTGGTGATTACTAAAAGAACCAGTTACTCCTTTTCAGCCTAGGAAGAAGCAAAGAACTTCAGCAAAATGCTGGCAAGAAAACTAGAGGGGGCAGTTCCCAGGAGTAAAAAATGTCTTGAAAGAACAACTTTATAGCATCTGCAGCATGTGACATATAAGTGATATATATTAGTTTATATGTATTTACACTTTACATGCATACTTGTATTTTTTTTTCTGTATACGACATCAGAAACTGAAAACAAGGATAATAGATAACAGGAATTTTCAGGTGGATTGTGTCCAAATATGGTAGCGTGCTGGTGTGCTACACTATAAATGAGAGTGTATTGTCCAAAACTATTTCTATCAGATGAGCATCCCAACTTGCACTTCTGACATGGGGAATACCAAATTGCTAAACAGTGTCATATTAGGTTGTTTACCAGATTCTACAGGCAGCGAAATCTGGAAAGTCAGCAGATCAAATTTAATGGGTGCCTGATTTTATAGTTGATGTATATGCAATGTAATTGAATAAGTATCTTCTCAGGGAAAAACAGTTACATGCACATTCAAAACTATTGAACTAATTCTGGAACCCAACACTCTTCTCTGTTTCAATAGCTTTACCTCACACCACAGTTCATTATCAATGTCATATGTGTATTTTTCTACAGCATCATGGCTTTCCAATACAGCATTAATTCTCTGCTGTGCCATTTCATTCCATCCCTTTCTCTTGCTGCGATCCCTTTGATTAGAGGAAGGAGAATAAAGCTCATCCTGCGTTTCCAGTGCCTCAAGATTTTTTTCATCTGTTGCAGCCATTTCCTGATCTGGAATATCGTCATCATCATCATCCATTTCATGATCATCCTCACTCTCATAATCAACCTGCAAAAGAACATACTTGAATCACATTCAGTTTCACTAAACAGGAAAAGCAAACAGTATCATTGGTGCTTTCAAAACCATTCAAAACCTGACTCCACCTCCAAAATACAATAAGACTAATAAAAAAAATAAGGCTAATGTCATAAATTTTATATATATCTATATCTATAAAAGGATTTTCTTAAAAAATTATGTAAAGAAAAAAATCCAAGTGTTTTGATTTCACCAATATTTTGCTTAAATAAGAAATATATTTAAATAGTATGGGAGAGAAAATTATGCTAGTAATTATGCTAGTAACTAGCTAGAGTAACATTACCAGGGAATATCATTTTATTACTGTACAGGAAATAGGACTGAATTAGAAATTATCCATTAGACTGATCGTGAGCAAACTACACTGCCAATGTGCCATTTATAGATACCACATTGTCTCCAATAAATGAGAACTATTTTTTCCCATGGCTATTAAAGACTGCTTATTGCTAATTTGTTTACCATTTATAGATATATTAAGTTATACTAAGATAGACTATTATGCTTTGTCACAACAATATTATTAATATAATTATAGATCATGAAGGAACTAGCCTATGTTTTTAAGAGTTAATGCCTTCAAACAATAGCAATAGCAACAGCACTTAGACTTATATACCACTTCACATTGCTCTTTACAGCCTTCTCTAAGTGGTTTACAGAGTTAGCATATTGACCCCAACAATCAGGTCCTCATTTTATGGACCTCTGAAGGATGGAAGGCTGAGTCAGCTTTGAACCTGGTGCGATTCGATCTGGCAAATTGCAAGCAGCTCAGAGATGGTATTTAGCAGGTTCTGACCAGTCCTGGAGAACTGGTAGCGGAAAATTTGAGTAGTTCGGAGAACAGCAAATACCACCTCTGATTGGACACTTTACATTCTCGCTCCCCTGCCACGCCCACCAGGCCACACCCACAGAACCGGTAGTAAAATAATTTGAATCCCACCACTGAAGCAGCTGGCAATCAGCAGAAGTAGCCTGCAGTACTGCATTCTGACCGCATTTGCAGAAGCTCGCATAATCTTTTAATCAATAATTTGTACCACTTTGTTTGATAGAAATAATAGTTCCAAACATTTCCTATAGCTGTCTACAGAGCTTTCTCTAGTTTGCTTTTGGATTGTTTTTCCACCTTCCCTTGCAAAAAAAAAACAGTTCAGAAATAGTTTAAGATTTCCTCGTATACAGCACCATGAAGACCATTTGAAAAGTTTTATCTTTCTTTTCTATTTCCATTTAGTTACTGTTGGTGGAACATTAGTTTCTAGAATATGGTGGTGTTTAGTTGAATCTTTCTATGTACAGATTGCTATTGTATTCTAATGTAAGAGTATCAAGATCATGTGAAGTGTTAGTACCGCTGGATACTGCACTGGTAAGATGACACTTGGAATACTGTGTCCAGATCTGGTAATATGATACAAAAATGATGTTAAGATTCTAGACAAGTGCAAAGAAGAGTAACAAAAATAATTAGGGGGCTGGAAGCTAAACCATATGTTAAACAGATTCAGGAACTAGGTACATCTAATCCAATAAAGAGAAAGACTGAGAGTAAAATGCTAGCAGTCTTCCAATATTTGAGGGACTGTCACGGGGAAAAGAGGGGTCAATCTAATCTCCAAAGCACCTGAAGGCAAGACAAGAAGTTGCACGTAGAAGCTTAACAAAGAGAAGTCCAACATAGTGTTTGGAAGAAATTTAGTGTCAGTGAGAACAGTTTGCCTCCAGAAATTGTGAGTGCTCTGTCACTGTAGGTTTTAAGAACAGACTGGACAGATATTTGTCTGGAGTGGTATAGGGATTCCTGCTTGAGCAGGAGGTTGGACTAGAACAATGGCGAATCTTTTCAGCACCGAGTGCTCAAACTGGAACACGCGCGCATGCATGTGCCGGAAAACCAAAGACCAGCTGCATGCCTGTTTTTTGGACATTTTGGGGGCTGTTTTCATGTCATTTTGACATGAAAAAATGGCCTGAAAATGGCCCAAAAAACAGCCTGGAGACATTCTTTTCAAAATAGAAATAGCTTCTGACTTTTCTTTTGTTTGAACAGCCTATCTCTTTTTCACTTATTCAATTACTTAATTACATTTATATCCCATACTTTCCCCAGGAGCATATGCACACTTTAAATAGCATGACCTCTTCCCTTTTCTATAAGAGTCCCGAGTGTGAAATATGTTGGACTCAGAGCACGTTTTTACAGTTTAGGGTAGATTTGAACATGGAACTTACCAATCCTAGTCAAATACCTTTATCACTACATGTTACTAGTTATCTACTAAAATCAAGTGTTGATTGTTTGATATTGTTTAGACTCAAATTCAATATACATTAATTCCAAGTTTCTGTGATGGACAGATTTTCTAATGGAATTTATCAAAAACAACAACAAAAAACATCTATCATTACCTCATCTTCTTGATTTTCTTTTCTTTTTGTATCTGTAGCATCAGCATCACCTTCAGTCATTCCACTATCAGGAAGTCTGTCTTCTTCAGTTTCAGCTTCATTGTCATCCTATGTTGGTAGAAATAGGAATCCTTTTTCTACATAATGTATTTTCTTTTCTAGTATATTTAAAAGTAACCCTAGTTAACTGAAATATTAATTATGGAAGTTTCTCTTAAGGCTCCAACTTCCTCAGCAAGCATGACATTTTTCCTCATCCTACACTAGTTATTACAGAAATGTGATAGGCAATAGGACCTCAACACTGGTTTGAATTGTTTGATAATTTAATTAGCTGTTTACACAAAATTAATATAGCCATGTGAGTTCATGTAATGCATATGATAAGCCCCATTTTCTAGTAAAGTCTCCCCCCTTAATTCATCAGATTAATTGAAAGGCCTGGATAGATTAATTCATCCTTTTATTTCCTGAAGGGGGAAAAATTACCCAAGATTTTCCTTTTCATAAAGGAGCGTAATTGGTGAAAATTACTGTTTTAATCATTTAAGTTAAAAGGCTAGGGAGGATAATTTAGTTACTATGTAATTTTCTGGTTTTCCGGTTTCCCCAATTTCAGAGGAATCTTTTGCCTGATTTTGCAACCCAATACATTTCTAAAAAGAGGCTGACTTTAATTCCCCCATTTTATAAAATTGAAAAATAAGGAATCAGAAGAAACTCCTACCTAATAATCTCCAAGAATCTCCAGTGAATACTTTCCATACTCTATATTATATGTATACTCAAATAATATGTGATTAATTTAGTAAAATTTAAGTGTATTCATCTGTTATTGGAAATGTGTTGTAGGAAACTATTGCCTTTTTCCTAATGAATTTTTTTCATCATTTACAGTCATGTGAAAAAGAAACTACATCCTCTGAATTCTATGGATTTATGTTATTTATGACATAGTAAAAATCACCTGGTACTTAGCAGTTCTCAAAAGTACGTAAACACAACTTCAGATGAACAACAACACATGACATATTAACACCATGTCATCATGGTATTTTACAAAAAGAAAACCAAAATGGAGAAGCCAGATGTGAAACAATAAGTACACCTTATGGTTCTGTAGCTTGTAGAACCATCCTTAGGAGATGGTTAAAGTAATAATAACTTAAAGTAATAATTTTCTGTATGACTTTATTAGTCTCTCACATTGTTGGGAGGAATCTTTGCCCACTCTTCTTTACAATGTTGCTTCAGTTCATAGAAATTTGTGGGCATTCATTTATGTGTACTCTTTGGGTTCCATCACAGCATTTCAATCGGGTTGAGGTGTGGACTTTGATTAGGCTATTGCAATACCTTTGTTCTTTTCTTTTTCAGCCAATCTGGTTTTCTGGTGTGATTGGGATCATTGCCTGACCCAATGTTGACCAAGCATTAGCTGTCGGAGAGATGGCCCACCATCTCTCGGTTTGCCTGCAGCCACAACGGAGTAGAAGGCCATGCAGCGTGTTGGGATTGTCTGTCCCCCCACCTCCCCGGGTGCCTCTGCCTGTTGCTACCACACATCGGAATCGCAGCCTCCGTTAAATCAGGTGTCAATCCATCCCACCATCTCTCTGCTTTCCCACTTTGCTCATGTTTCCCTGAAAATAAATCCTAATATGTTTTTTGGCCCCTCCAAAAATATAAGACCTGGTCTTATTTTTGGGGAACCATAGTAGAAACAAACTTCTAAAACTTCAGCTTTTATAGAGATGACCACACTTACTGATTATCAATTGATCAAGGGCACCTGATTAGCAGCACCTGGCTACTTAGCCTCATTCTACAGAATGAAGCAGTAAGGGTTTATTTTACTTTTTCATGGTTTCTCCATTTTGGCTTTCTTTTTGTAAAATAAATAATTACATGGTGTAATAGGTTATGCATTATTGTTCATCTGAGGTTATATTTACCTACTTTTGAGAACTGCCAAGAATAGATGGTTTTTATATGTCCTGATTTGTAAAATCATAGAAAATCATAGAACTCAACTTGCCTGTGTTGCCCATGTTTCTCTGAAAATAAACCCTAATCTGTCTTTTGGGGCTCCAAAAAATATAACATCAGATCTTACTTTCAGGGAAACACAGTAGCAAATGTCATATACATTCTTATTGATGTTTTAGCAATGTTTTAGACTTTAAGGTATTTTTATTGTTCTTTCTAGATAATTTTTATCTAGAAAAGACACATTTTCTATATTATTATACAATGGTCTGAAAAATTTCCTTCTCTTCCTGTATTTGAGAAAGAATGTTGTCATTGAAAGTCCCATCTAGAGAACCAGAAATATGGACTACATATATCAGTTTATATGTTTGATTAATGTGTAAATATAATATGCAATGTAATTGGGTAGCATGACATGAAACATGTTCCAAAAAGAGGCAACCGAAAAATAAGCTTGATCTTTTAAAAAAGAGCAAATACACACACACACACACACACACACACAATTTGAAGAGAAACCAGCTAAACTACTCTTGAAGAATGCACATATATAAATATTGTTACATACATAGTCCTACAGAAAACATAGAATACAACCAACAGATATATTTTAAACATATACATGTGCATTTATATCAATGTGATTTTTTTCATTTAGCTTACTAAAGTTTTTAAATGCTAATTCAGCTAAGGGATCTACATCTGTACCTGATCTTCATGTGAAACACCAATTTCTTCCTCAGCTTCTAAATCTTTCTGAATTGCTTTTCGAGTGCTGACAGCGTTATAAGATGCCAACTTTGAACTCTTCCTTTTAATTGTTTCCAGCAACATTTTGAAGAATCTGGGCGAGATGGAGAAAAGAAATAGAATATAGCTTCTGGATTTCAGACTATAGAATGTTACAACATACCTTCCTAGATTCATCATTTCAGATGATAAATATAAAGGAAATTTCAAATCATTTTGTAACATTATTCATTATTTATAACATTATTCATTTTTAAAACAAAATTAGATATTTTTCTCCTGATTCTGAAGTCTATTTTTTTTTCTGTACTCTATGAGAAAGGTATTTTAGTAACATTGAAAAAAAATATTCCAGTAATAATATCATTTTAAAAAGTTAGTGTTATAAGAACAAAACTGTACCTAAAATGTAAATCAGTAGCTAGCCCCCAATCTTAAATAAATGGGTGAGGTGTGGGGTAGAGTGCGGCATAACTATTCATTTTCTCAGGGAATGGCAGCATTCATTCCCTCAGAGTGAAGCAAAGACAGAAACTGAACAGATCATAAAGTTCCCACCTAATCCTACAAACATACTGATGAATTTCAAATTCTCTTTCAGCAACGCAATGAAGGTAACCATTTTGCAAGGGCAATATAAGGGCCTCTTTTAGTTTTCTGTGGCACCCAAGTATGGCCACATGAATGAGGTGAAAAAGGGAAAATTGTCAATGATAAGAAGTCAAAAAGTCAGTAGAAATATTCTTCCTCTGGTCTAGACTTTTGTTTTCTTTGTTTTCTTTTTCTTTGCATCTGAACGGATTTTTGGAAAGCCAGTGCATTGAACTTCCATACAAATTTCACTATACAGGCAGTCCTGAATGCATCAAGTAAAAAGAATGGCAAAATCTTGCTATGATTATTAAAATTATTTATGGCAGAGTTTCCCAAAATTTATGGTGCTGTGTCTCTGCAAACAAATACATTTGCATGGAAACTCCTTCCCCCAAATGAATAATGGTGTTGATGATGAAACCACTGAGAGAGCATTCCTAAGAAAGCAGTGTTACCTAAGATAATGAGCTCAGTGCCGTATTTTCTTTCTGGGTCCAAGGAGCCAGGATTGTACCTTTCATTCTCATCAGCCATGCATCATATACAACTCTATTCCTGGTACCTTAGGAGTGAGAGCTCAGCAAAGTCCTTTCTTCAATACTTCTGGGCTCCCAGGAATTTGTGAGGATTCTCATGACCCCCACAATTTCCTCCTCAGTGGCTGGTATCTTCCAGTGTAACAATTGGAAACTTGTCAGGAGAAGATACTCACCTTTTCTCCATAAAATGTAAGATGTCCCTTGGTTTCACACATTTTTCTTCTTGATAGCATTCATAAGGCAGAAAACTAAATCTGATGGTGTAGATGCGATGCTTGCTTAATGTCCCTTCCAAACACAAAGTTTCTTCAATATCCACTTTGTGTAACACCTGAAACAATAAAAGAAATTGAGTGTCTATGAATGCTAACCATTTGTAACATCATGCTTTCTCACTCTCTAAATCATCTGTCCACTTCACAAATTTAAAATTGGAGGAGGAATATGGACCATTATTTTTTTGGAAAAAAATAAATGTACCCTCCACAGAAAATTTACAATTTCAAGATGATAAAATGAAAAAGGCACTAAGGCTTTGGTACTCTCCAGCCATCTTCATACCCATAAACCAAATATTAAGATTCAATTGGGTAGTGAACCTCAAATTCAAGTGCTTTACAGCATAGCAAAAATGGGGTTTATAAGTTTTCACTTCCCCATTTGCCTCAATTACTTCCTTATTAGTTGAAATGTAATCTTACATGGCTTAAAAACAAATTTTAAGTAATAAACAGAAATTATTCTAATTAGCATTTCCATTTACTACCCACTAACTATACTTCCTTTGTACTGAGTCACTATAAGCTTCAATGCTGGGAGTTTATAATCAGTCTCTACAAAATTAGGCAAAACAAAGCTAGAATGTTATTATAAAAATGTGCACATCATGTAATAGGGAAATGAAAACTAGTTAAACCCATTCGTCCTAGAAAATAAAAGAAAGGCTGCCTGGCACATCTTGAGGAAACTGCAACCATTCTGCAGAAAGTAACATGAAAAAAATCCTATTTACTTTTTTTAAAAACCCTCAGAGCTAATATGATTCTTCTACCCATACAGGACTTACCTCACCTAAGCACACTCTGCTAAGCTTCTTCTTGAGCCTTTTCACCCTTTTGTGAGCTTTCTTGATATTAAGAACAGGAATGCTCATCATGGGAGTTTTGATATTAGCACTAGCTACCATCAGAATCTCCCGCAACCTTTAAGAAAGATGTATTGCACGTTTAGTCACAAAGACAGTTAATGCTAAGAGAAACATTCAAAGTCTGACTTTGTCTGCTGCCTTCAGTATCATTAAACAGGACTAAAAACACTCTCCTTAGAAGTCAGAAACTCATTTATCTAAGGAACAGAACTACCAAAATCTGAAGTAACAAAATAATAATAGCAGCAGAAAGTAAGGCGGTATTCTACTTTTCTATTAAATAAATCAAAGCAACATGCAGTGATAATAATAAACCTGAATCAAATAACCTTTTTAATGGAGCTCCTATACAATGTCCTATGCCAAGAATCAACTGTAATCAAGCCAATTTAAGTGATTTAATTGGATGTTGGACACTATCAAGTTCAATAAATTGTTATTGCTGTCATTATTGAAAGCTTGAGACAAGATATCATCCCTCAATTATCTCAGGATTGAACAAAATATGTAATTTGGGGTACTGTTGGATTACTTACCACTAGTCCTACTGGCTGGGATTCATAAAAGCTATAATTTATCAATAACTAGAGAACTATATTTTGTACATTTCAACACTGGTCTATCATTAAACAGCAAAAGCATTTTGTCATGGTAAATAATGGAGACACTCACTTGTTTGTGGGTTAGCTGTTAAAAAGGAGCGTTTAGGATAAACAGACTTATGTCTTCTACTTTTCTCCGCATGTTATACCAATTGGTAATAAAGGTGAGGTTCTATCTTACCTTGGGATACCAAGGGTAACATTCATTTCACCTCTTCCAGCAAAGTGAAAGGTATTCAGGGTCATCTGGGTGGAGGGTTCCCCAATACTCTGAGCAGCAAGAAGTCCCACAGCTTCTCCAGGATCGCAGAGTGATTGTTGCCATTTTAAATAGAGCAGCTCCTGTAATCTAAAGACACCAAGAAATAATTTGATAGTTTAATTTATTAATTTAGTTTCTGCATTCCTGTAAAAATAATATAGAGGAAGCATTTTACTTAATTTAAGTGAAATAAAGTTGCAATGATGCATAATAGAAACATCATAATGAAAAAAACAGGCTAAAGAATATTTCCAGAAAAAAATTCTACAAAACTCACTAGATTAAGCATCATCTGTTTGTGTGGAATAAATCCATAACGTGCTGCTGCAATTTTAGTTTCTAATATAGAGCCCAAATCGCATCCACCACAAAGGACAAGACCGTAACACTTTGTTTCCTCATTTATACATCAAATCATGCTTCATTTAATTATTTGTTTCTCATACTTTAATCTAACCCTGAGCTAAGAGCAAGCCCCACTAAAATTGGCATGGCTTACATCCAAAAAGCTTTGCATTTGTTTGCTTTATTTAAAAAATGGATAAACACACACTTCATCTTTATGTTTTTCTCTCTCAAGATTTAATGCAGTATCATCTCTTTTCAATGTCCAACTTAGAAAAGTGATTAAAAACAATAACAGCCTCTTCATTACAACAGTTATTCCTTGAAAAGGCAATTGTATGAAAAGAAACAAGAAAAGATGAAATTCATTACTTAATTTTTGATTGATAAAATTTCAACAAAAAAGTGCTCGCTTGTTTTCTAAGAAAACTTATACTCAATCTCTTAGATTTGAGCAATCTGTTTAAAGACTGAAAGAATTTCTTAGCGGATGAAGAAGCTGCTATAATAATAAATGGATTGATACAAACTGAAAACCTCAATTCAATGAGATTTTGTGCTATTATTCTATGATAGAAATCCAATGTTTCTTAGAGGAGGGGTAAAACATAGGTGTGACATGCTAGATTCTGAACAAGAAGCACTGGGGTTAATAGAGCAACATAAATGAAATTACTACCTCTGTGAAGAAAGTTCAGATTTGCTATAATTAAGCCTATTCCGAGCATCCCACTCTCCAAGGAAAGTCTTAACTTCATTTTCAAATGTTTCAGACACTGATGCAAAATAAATATCTGGCCGCCAAACTGAAAGGCTAGGATCAGGACACCTTGCTGCCCTCTTCTGATACTTTCTGCGGGTTTTTTCATTCAGTTCATACCACATATTTAATAGCTGTAATGGATACCGGAATTAAAAAAGGAAGTGAGATAGTTGAATTATTTATTTGAATATCACAATATAGTTGAATGAGTAGTGAAAGATATATTTATCAATTGGGGAATAACCTTAAGAGCTGCAGGGTCTCGGCCATATGCAGATATTCCTCCTGTAGAGATCTCAGCTTTTACATCAGCCAACATTTCTTGGGAAAACAGCAAAAAGCCTCCTTTCCTTCTCAAAGAGTGTTGATGCTTTGCTTGCCATCTATTGACTAATTTAAACTGCTTAGATGCTTGGTGAGGATTCATTTTTGGCATAACTTCATCTAAATGCTTAGATTTCTGTATCACCTATAACAAATGCACAAAATCATTTTTTTTTGAAGGTTGAGTATTCCCCAACGTTTAAGTACACTACCCACAGTATAGTTAAAACTGTTCAGTTAGAAAGCAATGTTATTACTCTATAAAAGAATTCCCTCAATGATGATACAAATGTACTCACTAAAAACCTATACACCCTATAGTTTAACCAGACCATCATATTCAGTCGTTCATCACAGTGGAACTAATTATTCTTAGTGACCAGAAAATGATGTGACCATAAAATGGAAATCATAGTTATGACCTTGAGATCACAATCCAACTATCGTGAAGTAAAGAGTATATTTTACGAACTTGAGATACGCACATGGTATCCAAAAGGCCATGAAATTCCAAGTCAACTCCAACTCCAGATTTCAGAAA